AGGGTAGGGAGGGCAGGGGTGGTAATCTTCAACACATCTTCATGACAACTTCAAATGAGGATTCGTGGCACCTTTTTGTAAACTTGCGTAGTTTTTTCTCTTCATATCATGGTGAATTACACAAGGTATGGAAAAATTTCATGTTCTCCCTTGGCAATTCATAGCTGACCACATTGTTTGGATAGAGATGAGGCGGGACATGACAGAGATAAGCCAGGCCTAACATGCATTGTTAGTGGAGCTTGGGGAGGGGTGGATGTCGGCTTCCTAATCTTTGGGTGGTGGTGGGGGTGGTTATTTGCTTAAATCAAGAAGATGAGGAGGAGGGGAGGCATTTTTTGCTTGTGGAGAAAAAAAGCATGGGAGGAGTTTTGGTAACGAGGGTTTTGGAACTTGTGCTTGCGGCAGAAATAATTGTGGCGCGTCACAACTCGCGGTTGTGCGATTTCGTGCACTCATAATCGTCACATAGAACTGACCCAACGCGGACGGTTTTGGCCGCACATTTATACGTTTAATTATAAATATGTATTCATTCAATGGTATAATATTCAGACTTTTTTCTAATTTCTAATCATTTACAAGTTCTTCGTTAGTCTTTTGTCGACATAGGAGACATGCATTCTATCGTCATTTCTTAAAACTCAAAGACGAAGATCGTTTATTCAAATAACTCAGTTGGCAAGAGAGTATGGCTATTACTACAAGATTTGAGCTCTACTTCTAGCGTTTTATTTATTTGATATTGATTCTTCTTTAGTTACAAATAAATCCAAAAAAATTATCTAAATAGCTGAGGTGCCTAAATTTTCAAGATAATATAAAATATATATTTCAAATATAATATTTGTATGTTATGTTTAAGCAAAGTTTCCCTGAAAATGAGTGATTGCCATAGTCTGTGATTTGATTTTAGAGATAAAAAATATTTTTTCATGGCTTTCACTCAACTTACTAAATAATTTGGCATTGAAAGATATGGGCTTGTTACATATTACCCTTTTTTATGTGTTGTTACATACTGCCTTATCATGTAGTAGGTGTCTTTTCTTTGTTATTTATTTTATCAACAACTATTCTGCTACCAGGTTCTCACAACATCAACCAACTTATTTATATGTATTCACCCCTAGATATGTGTGGTGAGCATTATTTTCCGGAGACGGGCTTATGAGTTTCGCCATGTGTTGTTCATCCATCATAGGACAATTAATACACGACACCTACAATTGTATGAAGAAACTTCTAGTGCATATCAATGCAATCTGGCCCCGCAGGTGTTGGTTTGTGTTTGTCGCTAGGTCACTAATCTTGAGTTGGTTGTTGGTATACAGCTTACTCAGAAGTTTGCTTTGATCTAGAACGAGTGTCCATGAGAGCATTTCTACCTATTGATACGCCATTTTGCATCATGTTTTTCTACTGTTATTTATATTGTTTTTATGCATAATAATATTTTTTGAAGTAATTCTAATGCCTTTTATTTTATAATATGTAAGGTTCACACAAAGAGGGAGAATATCAGCAGCTGGAATTCTGTGTTGGGGATCGTAGCAGAAATTTAAAATTTTCTACGCATCACCAAGATCAATCTATGGAGTAATCTAGCAATGAGGGGAAGGGGAGTGCATCTACATACCCTTGTAGATCGCTAAGCGGAAGCGTTGCAAGAACGCGGATGAAGGAGTCGTACTTGCAGCGATTCAGATCGCGGTTGATTCCGATCTAAGCGCCGAACAATGGCGCCTCCGCGTTCAACACACGTGCAGCCCGGTGACGTCTCCCACGCCTTGATCCAGCAAGGGGAGAAGGAGAGGTTGGGAAAACTCTGTCCAGCAGCAGCACGACGGCGTGGTGGTGGTGGAGGAGCGCGGGACTCCAGCAGGGCTTCGCCAAGCACTACGAGAGACGAGGAGGAAGAGAGGTAGGGCTGCGCCAAGAGGGAGATGATCTCGTGTGTCTTGCAGCCCCCAATACCTCAAGTATATATAGGGGAAGGGGAGGGGCTGCGCCCCCATCTAGGGTTCCCTCCCCAGGGGTGGCGGCAGCCCCAAAACCCATCTAGGGTGGCGGCCAAGGGGGGAGAGAGGGGGGCGCACCTAGGGTGGGCCTTAAGGCCCATCTGGACCTAGGGTTTGCCCCCTCCCACTCTTCCTTGTGCCTTGGGCCTTGGTGGGGGGGCGCACCAGCCCACCTGGGGCTGGTCCCCTCCCACACTTGGCCCACGCAGCCTTCTAGGGCTGGTGGCCCCACCTGGTGGACCCCCGGGACCCTCCCGGTGGTCCCGGTACGTTACCGATAGCAACCGAAACTTTTCCGGTGACCAAACGGGACTTCCCATATATAAATCTTTACCTCCGTACCATTTCGGAACTCCTCGTGACGTCCGGGATCTCATCCGGGACTCCGAACAACATTCGGTAAGCGCGTACATAGTTTCCCTATAACCCTAGCGTCATCGAACCTTAAGTGTGTAGACCCTACGGGCTCGGGAGTCATGCAGACATGGCCGAGACAACTCTCCGGTCAATAACCAACAGCGGGATCTGGATACCCATGTTGGTTCCCACATGCTCCACGATGATCTCATCGAATGAACCACGATGTCAAGGATTCAATCAATCCCGTATACAATTCCCTTTGTCTAGCGGTATAGTACTTGCCCGAGATTCGATCGTCGGTATCCCGATACCTTGTTCAATCTCGTTATCGGCAAGTCTCT